GCGTGCTGCTCAGGTACGACCTCGTACCTGGCGAGAACACACGCGCGCGGGCGCGGGGTCACTCGGGTTCGCCTAGACCACGCCGCATTTAGCGCTAAACGCGGTCATGCGATTCTAATTGCGTTTCCGAAGGCTAATAGCGAATTACGGTCAATTATCATAATCACCGTGCCTTTAGATAAGATAGTATTTGACGAACGTGAAAAACGCGTCTAATTTTTTCCTAGATGTTTTTTTTTTTCCTTTAACATTTCATCTTTACACTTAACATCTTAAGCGTATCTATTCGTAGGACGAGTAAGATCGCCATCTGCGACGCAAATGTATACAAATGAGACAAGCGGAATTCACATTTGGGACATAAATGTATATACGTATACTACGAGATTAATACGCAAAATATATTCGTTGCCGTATAGACGTGCAATATGTATACGGAGGGGCCCCCTCCCGGATTCTAGACAGACGTATTTCCGCCTCCACGGGGACGCAAGTTACGCTCGTTCCACGAGTTCGTCAAGAACAATTTCTGCCAGCTTGACGGACGGCGAGAAACTTAACTCAACGTTTCGGAAATAAATATTTAGGTAGCCCGAGCGAACGGCCTCTCAGAGAAATGTATTTTTCGATGAATTATAAAACGCTCGGGACGGGGAAGGCTACCGAGTTAGCGCCTCTTTCCTAAAAGTTGCAGTATCATATCTTGAAACTGCATTCGCATTAATCTCTTTTTACGCATATACTTGCTTCTTATCTGCCGCTTATTGGTGTAATCATCATTATCAGCCCTTGTTTTTCTCTCCACTCATGGATATAAACCTCTCTTAATTTATTTAGGTTACAGGAATTTAGTTACTTCCCTATCACGCTGGTTAGTGCGGATCAGTGATCAATTGATTTTTGCTGATCCGAGCATTATGACCTCAATTTCTATTTCGTATTTCTGTGGTGTGCGCTATTTTCAATTTATACTGCAATATACGGGACCTACAGTTTTAACCCAGGTTCTGAACGGTCTAATTAAAAGGATTTTCCTGGAAAGATAAGTATAGATCGATGATTTAGAGACTCTCGATGATTTGCCATTATTTTCCGAGAGGTGATAATCGAATAAAAATCCGATGTTTCTGGTCGGATTTGAATCGCGCCTTCGATATAGAAAACAGACGCACAATCGCCACTGTCGCAACAAATAATTAAATTTATAATAAACATTTAACGTCTTAATTTTCGATGCTACCAATTTTAGAAAAGAAATTTTTACGTAATATTTTTTGTTTCTCTATAAAAACACCTAAAAACAAGTCGAAATTAAAAATAATTTATCATGTTTTCAACATGTTTTTCTACATTTTTGCAACCATATATAAAGACGGTATTAAAAACATTATTAACTTAAGTCGTCAAATAATTATAAATCTGTAACAAATAATATATACTATTTATAAAAAGAGAAAGAACGAGGCAGATACAAAAATTATATTATCGTATGAATAACTTATATATAGCGACTTTTATCGCAAACTGACGGCAGCCTATTTACAGATCGAATACCCCTTATAATTGCAACGCGATTGCAGAACCGGCGATAAATGACGCGGTTCGATGACAGAAGGTAATGTCATTAACAGTTGGACATGGCTATCTCCGTCTGTTATACTCGCGATGTCGCGAATATGCAAGCGCGATCGAGCGGCGCGGCGGACCTGTCGCGAGGCGCAATTGCGCTCCCCTGGTGCGCTCCGTGATGTCGCAATTACCGATATATCATTGCTAATACAAATTGCATTCCGGTACGAGAGCGTCTCGCGATGGCGCGGCCGCGCGGAGAATCGAAGCGCACAGGGACTTCTCCTCCGCGAGCAGCTATTATTCAGCGCTCACGTAGGGTACAATGTCACAAGTTATCCGTAACGCATCGCCCGACATGTCGCGTGCTGGCTCGTCCGCGTCGTATAAAAAATTCACGGTGCAATGACCGCTATTTTTCAACTGGCCACCGCGACCGCGCGTATTGTCTAACGGAAACGGACTGGCGAAACGGAGGAGCGTCGGCCGGCGCGGCGAGGGTAATCAGCCTCGACGGTCAGAGAGGGTGCAAAACCGATAAATATTATGGACGGGCTGATTGCGCGTACACGAGCACGCGCTTGCCTTTCTCTTTACACCGTTATCGATTGCCTTCAACGTATCTTAAAATCAGTGGAATTTCCGTGCCGTCGATGCGAATTATAATTTCGAGGCGATCTCTTTTTTTTTTTTCTTGTCGAGATGTTTGAAATATTGCTTACGAAGACCGCAGCCATTTTTCGGCCGGTGCCCTGTAGAGGTAATCGGTTTTTCAATGAGTTCATCCACGGGGGTTCAGCCGGCGCGGTCTAATTACGCTGCCCCCGTTCAAAGAGCCGGTCCCTGAAATATTCACAAGGCGCTTGGATTTTTTTTTCTTCCTGCGCGGACAATTCCGCGTGTCCGCGCTCAAAGGCGCTTTGGTTGGCGCGCCCAGCCCCGCGCGACGATACAGCGCACTTGTTTCTTACAGCGGAGTTCGAGCTGACGGACGACTGAATCCCGTTATGTTTTATTAGTGTGCAAAGAGCTATGCTCGCTGGTGCGCGCTTTGCTGAAATACACTCGACGGTCTCGTTTAACTGATATTAGACGAAAGGGAATCGCGGGGTGAGATTCAAAAGGGGCAGGAGGGGAGGAGCTGCTGCCTCAATTTCAGCGGCCTGAATAACCCGTGCGTATTCATGCGGGGGCATTGCGATACAATGTCTCGGCAGCGCGAACGCATTATAAATAGAGAAAAATAATAATGGAACGTTACCGCTCTCTCTCTATGCTTTTTATTACTCGCTCCTCTTGTTATTTCAATTATGTATGTTTGCGTGTCCTACATGCAGACCGCGTATAGTCGGAGCGCATACAAATCGAAAAGGCATGGTTGACACATTCGACATGTTTAATGCGTGATATTACAACGTACACCGTCCATGCCAGGCACGCTATAAAATTTTAATGACAAGTTCCGCGAGGCTAGTTCTCGGAAATTGATTTTTCCTCGGCGCGGGAAATCAAATGGCGCATCAAACGCTCGTTGCAATTTTAAAGCGTTTAACATCGAATGTAGTACTTCGGCCGTTAAGATTCTCAAGTGGAATTTCCATTCGAATAAAAAAATCGTTTAAAACTAACCGAAAGATAAACCTCTGTTATCTATTTACACACTCGAAGAAGGTAGGGACCTCAGCTTGATTTCTCCGGGCGGATAAATAGCTTCGTAATTACGAACTTTTTGTAATTTTTACTCGGGAGGAGTCGACTCGAGTTTCTCCGAAGAGAGCCCCTGTCATTAAAAATCTCATACAAAAAAGAAACGAGTTACATCACACCGTTACACGAGATCAAATCACTTAAAAAAAATTGTAAAGTAATAATTTAACGAAGATGGTGCTTGTACTGCGAAATTAGCGCATATCTTGTCAAGACTTGTCAAAAGGAGAAGGAAGAGAAAGAGAGAGAGAGAAAGAGCGAACGGGAATGAGTCTTGCGGAAATCATTATGCCATGTAATTCCATGACGGTAAAATTGCAGCGCAAACTATTAACTAACTGCAGCGCGCGCGTATAGCGTAAGATGTTTACATATCAGTCGGGTGAGATTGATACGGTATCGCGTGATGCCCGAAATTGCCTC